TATATCTACACACACACACAGATATATATATATATATATATATATATATATATATATATATATATATATATATATATATATATATATGAATGATGAAAACATTCTACCGCGTTGATACTATGGTAGAAAAACCCACAATGTAGAAACTAGATTTACTGAAAATGAGACAACAGTTTCGGAATCCACCTGGATTCCATCTAATAGCATATTTTAAGAATTACCTTCACAATATTAAAGTCGTTTTACATGATAATGCAAAAGTTATTATTGTAAAAGAGGGAGAGAGAGAGAGAGAGAGAGAGAGAGAGAGAGAGAGAGAGAGAGAGAGAGAGAGAGAGAGAGTGAGAGCGACGGACAGACATAGAGAACGAATGAAATAATTAGCTGATAGAAAGTAAGGGAAAAGAAGACATATTTGTATACAAATGTATGTCTACACACACACACACACACTCACACACATACACACACACACACACATATATATATATATACACTATTTTTTTAAATATATTTACATCAACTCTATGATACTACTAAAATATTGTGTTACTATATCTCCTATTGTCTTTCCTTTTTCAAATTTATTTTGCATTAATAAGTATGTTTGATTTGACAAGTGAAACGAATTCTCTCCCGAAGACAAAACAAGTAAGAAACACGTTTCGCCGAATGTAAACAATGAGACAAAAAGTGTTGTCCAGCTAAAGCGTTAAGAAAACGTGGCATCTTCCGTCGAATATCGTGCATTTAATATCAGTTATACAATAAAAAATATTATTTTAAAGAGTTCATAATTGCAATTATAATAGCTGTGTGAAGCTAAAAGTTACCGTGTTCAGTAATGTTTTAAGTACTGGAAATATATATACCCAAATGCAGCATATGCAATACATATAACACGCACGCACACGCACAGTACACAGTCACTTTCTGGGGTGATGTTCGCTATCTGCTACACCACCCTATCTCTGCCGCGACGCTAGCCATTGTGGCCAATACCCGTTCTGTCTCTTTTATCCCCCCCCCCCCCACCCACACGCCTCTCTCTCTCTCTCTCTCTCTCTCTCTCTCTCTCTCTTTTCTCTCCATCAGCCTCCATTCTAAAGAAACTGTGTTGTGAAAACGTATATGTATTACCGTTCACAATACAGTCCATTGGCCCCGACCTCGCCAATGGCTGTGGCCATCATCCACTATCTTTTTCTTTGTTAATCTTTATTTCTCTCTCTCTCTCTCTCTTTGTCAATGGTGTTTACATCTATGGTTGTATATGTTGCTCCGCCCTCGAACCCTCGCCCGATCGCCGTGGAATTTCCGAGAGACATTAGGCGCATTTATTTTTTCCTCATATATCTCACGTTATTCTTTGCCTTTTTTGATGTGTCAGTAAGTGTAGTTTTTTCCCTTTCCCTATGGTAGTGCCATCAGAATTTCCCGCAAATACCAAGCAAAATCTCATTCTCAACTTGCGAAGGAAGTGTTATAGTTGAAAAGTGTCTTATATTTTGTCGTTTTGTCCATCACAAGCAAATCTTATACTGTGAGGCTGTGACAATGAACTATACCAAAAAAGAATATAGTTTGTCAACAACTCCAATCGATCATATTTCGCTTTCAAAAGATACGACAGCTTTAAAAGGTTATCGCAAGGCTTGTATGCCTCTGGTGCGCAGAGAGTTGTTGTCGTTGTTGCTGTTGTTTGAGATTTTCGAAGATCTAGCTTCGCCCCGGCCAGCGTAATCACTTTTGTAAATACTGGCACCGGTGGATTATTTCTTATCGCATCCCTTAACCACCTCCCCTAAACCATGCATAGACAGCGCAGAGTCTCATAGTTGTGAGACGTACGTAATTTGTCTCCCCTCTGGCATGGGCGACATCAGTTCGAAGCGAAAAGAGACAGACTTCTTGAAAATCCGACTCTGGCCAGGCCTAATTACCTGTCCTGGGGGCGGGATACTCAAAACAGTTTACAATGTTGTATCTCACATCGGAGCAGTTACAATGTTGTAACTCCTCCGAGGGCCATACTCGAAACAAAAATAGCCGCCATGTTATGACGTCACTCATTGTAAAGTACCTTGTAAGTTATAACTGCTCGGGAGCTCTTGTAAGGGTTTCAAACCGGATTTATTACGGTTTATTTCCCGATTACTTAGTCGACAAAAACCTTTATTTGACAGTAACATGCCTTTTCCATATTTAATACCGGGGAATTTCAATTGTCTAGCATACTCTCTGTTTTCTATGCATTATCGTTATTTTGAATCAAACATAAATTGACTGTAAATTGAGTTGACAGACGACACACAACAATGTTTTGGTGGCTGCTCATCCTCATGACCGAGCAAGACATTATTACAGGGAATCATTAGTTTCACGCTATGGAGAGGATAAGCATTTATTGCGATATCACAGATTTCCTATATTTGTTTTACTATAACCTTCTTTGATGCCAAATATCCAACTAGACAATCCTTTTAAGAATTATTATTCCGATAACTAGTGACTCTTCCGTATGTATGTTAAAATCATGCTTACGGGTAATTATGATTTTTTGCCTTATACTTTCGAAAAAATGTATGTAAGTCACATGTGAGACCTCATAAACATATTGTTAAAAGTAAAGGAAATGTCTTTCAAAAATATTACTCTGGGAGACAGTCGCTGGGCCTTCCATGGAGTTGGTGATCGTTGGGGGCGTGGCAATAAGACAACCATGGCTTTCCATTGGTTGTTATGTCTAGCAGGCTGACTGCTAATTGGTCAATCAACTACCGGTCTGCCCTCTCTTGGTAGTCAATGGAATTAACTTACAATGTAAACACGGGCCTTACAATGTGCTTACTACATCGTAATTATTTTTTGAGCATGGTTGGGTTACAATGTAGTAAGGAGATCGGAAGTTACGATATTGTAAAGCGGTTACAACGTCCTCGGCCTTGTAACTGACGGGTAGTTTTGAGTATCCGGCCCAGGAGGCTGAACCACAGAGCGTCCTTGGTCCAAATCCTGGATTTCCTTTTCACGGGCATTGGGGAGTTACAGTCAGCGGTCGTTCTTATATAAGTCTAGAGCCAGTCTTACCATAGCTTCCCTTCCCCTCCTTAACCTAAGGAATCCTCCTCCTCCTCCCCCTTTAGTTCATCTGACCCTGGTCCGGGGGAGAGGACGTGAATGGAACCAAGAGAAAGGCTGGCCAGCCGAAACTCAAGGCCCAGGCTGTGTCTGGCTGAAGGGAGATGGGAACCCAGCCTGTGATGCACTAACAGGGGGTTAAGGAAAGGAAAATGGCGCTAGTGTACTTACAACGAGGCTCGGATATTAATTTTACACACACACAAACATATATATACACATCTTGCCAAAACAACTCATCTCTCTCTCTCTCTCTCTCTCTCTCTCTCTCTCTCTCTCTCTCTCTCTCTCTCTATATATATATATATATATATATATATATATATATATATATATGTTTATATATATATATATATATATACACACATATATACACACGCACACACACACACACTCTCTCTCTCTCTCTGACGAAACTAGACTACATCAACAGTTTTTAGTTTCATTAGTTTCATTGTTTTTACCATTGTTACTACTTCTGCTACTGTTAAAATTATCTTGATCATTACTATCAACATCGTTACTGATATCAGTGTCTATACCATTTACAGTATTAAAGGTACGGTATAAACACTGTCTCATAATTGCTGCCATTATCGTCCTTGTCATTACTTCCTGTTATAAACTTCAACTACTGCTTTTATCGTTTATTAGTTATCAAATCAGTATTTTGCAAACCCTTATCGTTAGCTTATTTGGTATAATCAATGTTATCATTAGTTTTGTAACTATTATTATCACTGTTTACTATCTGTAGATTGATGTAACTACTAAAGATTAAATAATTTTCATTGACATTACTTCTACTGTCTTGAACTATTAATATGATGAAGAAAAAAATAGAGAGACTTTACAAACGCATACAAAAAAACAAAAACAAAAAAAAAACAGGACAACTACATTTTCAATGGCAGGATGCAATTTAACGATATTCAACCGCTGTTGTTCTCTTTAATACAGCTAATTTTACATTCAGCGAAAATCTCTCTCGTACGCATAATGTGCAGTGAAGTTACGCCGAGCCAACTCTGAGCATGCCCTCGGGTGCTCGCGCCTCGGCTGGTTGGCGTAGTCTAAGTATTGCAAGAGCTTAGGCGATACTGGTGCAACGCCTGTGCTGGCCTGTTAGTCAGCGTTTAGCAATTTACCAACCTCCGGGGTCACTGCGTCTCTCATACATTGGGTTGCATTCACTACATCGTTATTTGGCTGAAAGATACAGCTTTCAACCTGCCCGAAGCTCGAACCACTTTGTACTTGCGTATTTTTTCTGAGAAAAAGTCGCCCAGGCATTTTCTGTTTACCTTTTCATCGTGAGTGATGTAGTTGTTACTCCGTTTTCTTTGTCTTGACATAATTTCCATCTGTCCAGTCTTTTTAGAAGGGGATGATATATTTGTTTTGTCTTTCTTAATCAAAAGTAACAGATTAGGGTATAAATAAACAAAAAACAGTACATTACATCCATAGAAATAAGTTAGAAGGATCCATCTGTAAACAACCGAATTACATAAACGATACGGTCAATAATTAATAGATCATAAGGTATGATAGAAAATATTAATAAATCCGAGAAATGCTGTACAGATCTTTTACCAGGACACATCTGTTTAAGTTTTATCTTTTCAATTATTTTCATTGTTTTTATATCTACAGCTGTGGCAATTCTGTATACTTTCGTAGCCCTTTTTATCGGAACAAAATAACAGTTTGGTTGCATTACAAAGTTTATTTCATATAATAAAAAAACAATACATAGTGTTTATCATAATTTGCTATTAATGTTTCTTTGGATCCAGAGTTAATCTAGACAATGCTATACGTGTAAGGCTAGAATGAGAATGAATATCAAATCTCTCTCTCTCTCTCTCTCTCTCTGCTTTTACATATGTGAGTAAGAATGCACAATATATGAGAGCCCAAAACTCTAAAATCGGCATTGTGTGCATAGTACACACAACGCACACACATCTCTCCAAAATAGGTAATTATATACAGTTTCAAAACAAACCAATAATGATTCACTTGTACATCTCGAACTCCCTCAGAGAGGCAAAGACAAGGTCCTTTTTCAAAGGACTTTCCTTTGACATTCTTCTTAACCTCGGCCTTGGAGACTTTGGAATCCTCTTGGTCCCCTTCAGTGCAAGTTACCGCTGTCCTACGGCGGCGGTCATCTCAAGGCAAAACGAGTACTGAATGATAACAATCAGTGAATACACAACGCGCGCCCCCTTTTTAAAGACTTCAGTTCTCATAATCCATTCCGAATTTTTCCGTCGGTTCTTCCTCCACGAGTGGCGCCGCCTCCAGCCTCTCCTGTCCCTCCTCCTGCGTCTGGCTCTTAGGTTGGCACGCTGTCCCTTCCAGCTCCATCTGGCTCTCCAGAAACCGCAGATTTGTCCCGTCGTAGCGAGCGTCGCACAGGTCCCTGGCTGCGGGCATTGGTTTCACTGATTTCGTGTGCCACGCCCATATCTGCGAACATGTGTGATATGTGTACGGGAGTTCGGTTGGCACTAAGTGAAGTGCCTTGCGTGATGCTGTGTCAGATTAACATTGTAGAATAAGCACACATTCGTTAGCTACCCGACGCACTAGTACCAGTTTACATTCCCCACCCTATCACAATTTACCTAAAGCTACACTAGGTCACGCTAGTCTATTCTGTTCTAGGATCCCTAGACAGGATCGCCGAAGACAGGTCACCTACAGAGAGGGATTGGTCACACTAAATTTAGTGTTCCTTCCGAGAGAACTATCGTCTCAGTTCAGGGTTCATAACAGTAAACAAAGGCGCTTTCCATCGAGGATGCTTTTACGGGCTACTTCATGACTTCATTTCCGCTTTTATAATCCTTATGGCTGGTGTCCCACAACGGCCCTTTGGCTCTCACTTAATCCAAAAAGGCGTAAATAACTTCCGAAGAGAGCTCTATGATTTTGGCGTTTCGGAGTGGGTTGGTGTTTATGTTCGTCAAATGAATATTTATTTGAAATATCTATAAACATTTAATGAGGCATCATTGGTCGATGCAATGTATCTTTGTGTTTAATAATCAATTTTGTTTTTATCATGATATATAATCATATTTTGAGATTCTAAGTAATGAGTTTACCAGTAATTATATTATAGTTTTTGTTTCGGCAATATCCTTCAGCTCTTGGCAGGGATGAAATACCGACATAGTATTTTCGCGCTGTGCAGGGATTTCCATCTTCCCTTTACAGCTAGGGAAGCATCCAGCTCTGTAAAGGGAACCCTGGACAGAATAGATTAATGTGACCGGCCCTTTAGTACAGTTCACGGCCTCGAACTCTTTCTCTTCTCTCTCCTTTCTCTCTCTCTCTCTCTCTCTCTCTCTCTCTCTCTCTCTCTCTCTCTCTCTCTCTCTCTCTCTCTCTCTCTCTCTCTTTCCTGTCTCTACCTCCCCTCTCTTTCTAATTACTTAGTGATAAGGGAGGGGGGGTAAGTCACACCTGAGATCTCTAGAATCTGATAACTTAGACCTAACCATATGCCATCTCACCTTAGTACAGTTCTTAAACTCTATCCCTTTTCTCTCTCTCCTCTCTCTATCTCCATTCTCTCTCTCTCTCTCTCTCTCTCCCTCTCTCTCTCTCTTCTCTCCCTCTCTCTCTCTCTCTCTCTCTCTCTCTCTCTCTCTCTCTCTCTCTCTCTCTCTCTCTCTCTCTCTCTCTCTCTCTCTCTCTCCTTTCTCTCTCTAATTACTTAGGCATACCCCCGTGTCCTCTTACCTTAGTGCAGTTCTCGGCCTTGAACTCGATGTCCTCAGGCGCCACTCCGAGGCTGGCAAGAATGCTCTCTTCCTGATAGTCATAGGACCAGGCCATATTGGCACGAGGCCGCTGAAAGAGATTTATTTTTTTCATAGAGAGGATTGGTTAGGTTTAGAATACACGGTCCGGTTGTCTGTTTCGTCCTTAATTCAGTCTCTTCATCTCTCGTTTATCTGTATGGATGTCTTGTTCTGTCACTGTCTCTGTTTCCCTCTTTTTGTCTTTCTTACTTTCTCCACTCCGTTGTCTCTTTTATCTCTCTCTCTCTCTATCTATCTCTCTTCTTCTTTCCCTTTCTCCATCTGTGTTTCTTCACTCTCCCCCTCTCTCTTTCGTTCTTTTTCCCTTTCTCCCTCTGTGTTTCCTTCCTCCCCCTCTCCCTCTCTTTCTATCTCTTTCCCTTTCTCCCTCTGTGTTTCCTTCCTCCCCCTCTCCCTCTCTTTCTATCTCTTTCCCTTTCTCCCTCTATGTTTCCTCCCCCTCCCTTCCCCTTTCTCCCTTTTTATTTCTCCCTTCTCCCTCCCCCCTCTCTATCTATCGATCTCTTTCCTTTTCTCCCTCTATGTTACCTCCCTCTCCTCCCCTTCTCTCTCTCCATCGCTCGCCACTTTCTCTTTTTGCACGGTATTCATATATTGAATTCTGCTGCTGCTGAATGATTTGACACAATTCTACAAAAAAAAAAAAAAAAAAAAAAAAAAAAAAAAAATCAGTCTCTCAAGACCAGTCTGCCGAAGTCGATAAACAAATGCAATACAGTTGCTCTATTTTTAAGGTATTTTTTTCTGTTGATGTACTGCCCTTGTCAAATTTCCCGTAGTTTTATAACCCACAGTTTTTTTAAGCGTTGTAGGTTATAATTCCTATGTGATTCCTATGAACAGCTAACGCCATTACATTTAACTATGAGTGGACCTTGCTGTAAGTGTTCACAGTGAGTCATTTTCTGTAGCTAATAGTTAAATACTAGCCAGATGCTGTAGTAGTGCGATGTTCTTGTAATATGTAGTGTATTAAAGAGGGAAATATGTGTTATGATTTTTTTTTGCAGTAATTCTTCCCCCCCCCCTCCCCTCTTTCCCCTCCCATCTACACCCCTTCCCCTTTTGCCCTTCCCTATCCGATCTTCTCTCCCTCCCTCTTGCCCCTTCCCCTATCCGATTTTCCCTTCCTCTCCTCTCCCCTCCCTCCCTCCTTTCCCATCCCACCTTTCCTCTCCCCTCATCTTTCTTCCCTCCCCTTTTTTTCCTATTCATCCCTCCTCGCCTTCTTCTCCCTCCCCCTTCCTCTCTTCCTCTTCCCCACCCCACCTTCCCTTCCTCCCCTCCCCTATCTTCCACTTCCCCATCCCACCCTCCCTTCCTCCCCACTCCTCTCTCTCCCTTCTCCCTTCTTCTCCTCCCCCTCCTATCTCCCCCTTCACCATCCCACCTTCCCTTCCCCCCCCTCCTCTCTCTCTCTTCCCCATCCCATCCTCCTTTCCTCCCCACTCCTCTCTCTCCCTTCCCTCCTCCCTTCTCCTCCTATCTCCCCCTTCCCCATCCCACCCTCCCATCCTCTCCCCTCTCTCCCTTCCCTCCCCCCCCCTCTTATATCCCCCTTCACCATCCCACCTTCCCTTCCTCCCCCTCCTCTCTCTCTCTTCCCCATCCCACCCTCTCTTCCTCCCCACTCCTCTCTCTCCCTTCCCTCCTCCCTTCTCCTCCTATCTCCCCCGTTCCCCTTCCCACCTTCCCTTCCTCTCCTCTCTCTCCCTTCTCCTCCTCCCCTCCCTTCTTATCTCCCCACTTCCCTTCCTCCGTACTTTCTGCAGTAACTCCACGGAGAAGGCAAACGCTGCCATGTCGACGGGGAACTTCCTGTCAATCACCCAGCCGTCGTACCATCCGGAGAACCGCCCCCTCTTCACCACGGGCGTCGAGAGCTGGAGTCGAGTCACGAAGCCGACGGGGAACATCGACACGCCTCTCGTCGAGCGAATCTGGCCGAGGGAGAGGGAGAAATGTCGAGCGCATAATTGTCAGAGATATTGTCGTTTGTTGTTATTAATAGTAGTATTAGTTCAGTGATGTTATCTTCGTTATCACTGGTTTTATTAGTTGTGCATTGATAACATTTTCATTATTAATTATAGTAGCAGAAGTAGATTAATGACATCTTCATTATTAATTGCAGTAGTAGTAGTGGTGGTACATTGATAGCATTTACTATTAATTGTAGTAGTAGTAGCAGTATTGGTATAAGTATTAGTATTTATGTTAGTAGTAGTAATAGTAGTAATAGCAGTAAAAGCAGCACTTTTAGTGTTATGTTACAATTGTTACGGTTACTATAAGCATTATCGTCAGCTGGAACTTATTATTCCGTTTATGATGATAATAATAATAATAGTAACAATAATAATAATAATAATAATAATAATAATAATAATAATAATAATAATAATAATAATAATAATAATGATTATATATAATATAAAGTCGGGCGTTCACATATATATATACAAATCAAAGAAAACAATGATATTTCTCTACTTCAATTGAACCACCGTAAAATTGAAATGCCAAATAGCAAAAAATAAAATTCATAAAAAGGTCTTAAATGTTCTTGTTCAGATGTTAAGTAAAATAAATAAAAAGAGAAAATTAAAGTCAACAAAAATCTTTCTTGATCTTCGATCAGTATAAGTTAAAATAATAGTAATAAATCCTGTTCACTTGTTTTTGCCAGAATAAAAGTAAACTATAAAAGTATTAAAATAAAATAATAAAAGGTTCTTGAGTTCACTTATAATAATACTTGCCTTCCTCTCCAAATGACGATAACAAAAACAAAATGACATGCAAGGGGTTACTGTTAATCTAACACTTCTTTCACTTTCACCTTTACCTTCCTCCCTCCCACCCCTCTGTTATCCACTGTTTACTTGTTTACTTACTCGATGATGATTGCAGAATTTACAAATTTTGGACAATTTATACTCAACACATTAAATATTTTTACATTTTGTAACAATATAATAATGTCCAGTATCGTTTAATTTATGTACTTTACAATT